CCTGGAGACTTCCTCCCCTTTGCCTTCTGTTCTTCCATAAATGGATTGTATTAAAATCATAGGCAATGATGTGTATGTTCACCAACAGATGAATGGGCAAACAAATTGTTGTATAGCTGGACCATGGAGTAAAACATAACAGTAAAAAGGAATGAACTGTTGATATACTCAACAACATGGACGAATCTCTCAATAATTATTCTGGGTAAAAATATATATGTATATTTTTTTTTAAAAGAAGCCAGACACACACACTCTCCCAAAAAGAATCCACACTGTGTGAATTCCATTTGTATAAAATTGTACAAAATGCAAACTAATCTATAGTGACAAGATCAGTTGTTGCTTGAAAATCGGGGTTGCAGGATCATGGAGAGGGGTAGGAGGGAGAGACTGGAAAGGGGCATGAGGAAATGTGGGGGCATGAGGGAGGCATGTGTTTATTATCTGGATTGTGGTAATGGTTTCACAGGTGTATACATATGTCAAAACTTATCAAGTTGTACACTCTATATGTACTTTATTGTAGGGCAATTATACCTCAATAAAGCTGTAAAAACATATCATCACAAAATGATCTTTAGGTGACTTCCAACCGACTTCCAACCCCATTTTTTTTCATGATTCCTCTTTGATCCCTTTACCAAACTCCTTTGAAGAAACATTATTAGCCCCGAGCAAATATCCTTTTGTTCTTAAAAGGCACCAGTCCTGGTTTTTCCAACTGAAAATAAGAGAGGAGTGTTGTAAGTAACCCCCTTCATCATTATTAAGGATATAGTTCTTCTCTTCTCCCACGCTCACCAAAATCTTACTGGGATCAAATGTCCTTAAAAAAGACCTCTATTCCCTGTTTTAGGGCATAAAGAAGAAAAATCAAAAACTTTTTCCAGAAACTTCCAATCTTGTGATATAAATGAAGTGAAGACCAAGATTTTAAGAGTTGCCTGGTTCCTTTGGGGCTCACCTGGTTATTAATGATTCTGCTCTAACAGTGGAAAAAAGGGGGTCTCTTCTCCCTTCGGACTGGCTCTCTCACCAACAACAAGCTTGGTAAGAGGACTAAACAAACAGCAATCCAGAGATAGCAAGAGGTGGGTGGCTGGGGTGGGAGTACTTTTTTATCCTGCTGCAATCCACAACTGCAAAATGAACTGGCCCGATATAAAGGTTTTACAATTTGGGGGCGCCTGGGTGGCTCAGTCGTTAAGCGTCTGCCTTTGGCTCAAGTCATGATCCCAGGGTCCTGGTATGGAGCCCCGCATCAGGCTCCCCGCTCCACTGTGTTCCCTCTCTGTTCCATTGTGTTCCCTCTCTCTCTGTGTCTCTCTCTGTCAAATAAATAAAATCTTTAAAAAAAAAAAAAAAAGATTTAAAGGTTTTGCAATTTCTGACCACTGGTCTACATTCCTGAAAGATTACATGTGAGATAAATGTGGTCACTCCACGCGTGTGTGCATTTTAGGTTGAATCATTATTTTCTCATTCATTTACTATAATGAAGAAACAGATCTTCTTGGGATCACTTGAATTCTGCTTTGCAATTTACAAGCTCTGTGGTCTTGGGCAATCCCTCGACTTCTCTTCAACTTCCTCCTCTAGAATGGAGCTGACCACAAAGGGCTTACCTCAAGAGTATATAAAATGAGAATGGCATAGGGCCTGGTACATGGAAAGCACTCGATAATGCTTTATGAAATTTGTACTGTAAGTAAATATCTGTTGAAGCAGAATTTCAGAGTCCCTTATCTCTCCTTCTGATAAGCCTTCATTTGGTTATGACTCAATACCACATAACTTTAAGCTTATCCTTCTCTCACCTTCTGTCACATTAATAATCCAAATCCACAAACAGACAAGAACACATTACGGGAATTTGCTATTTAAAACAGCAACAGCTAACGTGGGCGCCTGGGTGGCTCAGTCGTTAAAACAGCAACAGCTAACGTTATTGAACACTTAAAATGTATCCAACATTGTGTGCTTTTTTTCTTGAAGTATACGTGACATACAATGTTATATTAGCTTCAGGTGCACAACACAGTGATTTGACAATTCCATACATTACTCAGTGCTCACCATGGTAAGTGTATCCACCATCTGTCACCATACAACATTATTACAATATTATGGACCATATTCCCTGTGCTGTACTTTTCATCTCCGTGACTTAATTATTTTATAACAGGAAGTTCGTAGCTCTTAATCCCCTTCGTCTATTTCGCCCTGTACCCCCACCCATCTCCCTTCTGGAAAGTACCAGTTTGTTCTCTGTATTTAAGAGTCTGGTTTTTTGTTTGTTTGTTCATTTGTTTTGTTTTTTAGATTCCAAATATAAGTGAAATCCTATGACATTTGTCTTTCTCTGTCTGACTTACTTCACTTACCATAATACGCACCAGGTCCATCTGTGTTGTCACAAGTGGCGAAACTTCGTTTTTTTGTTGTTGTTGTTGTCAGAGAGAGAGAGAGCACAAGCACACAAGCAGGGGGAGTGGGAGAGGGAGAAGCAGGCTCCCTGCTGAGTAAGGAGCCCAATGCGGGACTCGATCCCAGGACCATGGGATCATGACCTGAGCCAAAGGCAGATGCTTAACGACTGAGCCACCCAGGTGCCCTGAAACTTCGTTCTTTTTTAATGGCTGAGTAATGTTCCATTGTGTATATCTTCTTTATCCATTCATCCAGGGATGGACACTTGGGCTGCTTCCATATCATGACTATTGCAAATAATGCTGCAATAAGCAGAGAGGTACCTGTATCTTTTCAAATTAGTGTTTTCATCTTCTTCAGGTAAATACCCAGTAGTGGAATTACTGGATCATATGCTATTTTTAAAACTTTTAATTTGAGAAACCTGCATACTGCTTTTCACAGTGGTCATACCAATTTACATTCCTACCAACCGTGCACGAGGGTTCTCTTCTCACCAGCCCGTTATTTCTTTTCTTTTTGATTCTAGCCATTCTGACTGGTGTGAGGTGTTATCTCATTGTGTGTGTGTGCTTTCCTTGATCTGCCATTTATTGCTTACAACAGCCCTAGAAGGTTCGAACTATTATTACCCCCATTTCACAGGTGAAGAAACTGAGGTACAGACAGATTAAATCATTTTGCAAGGTCACACAGTTAATAAGAGGCATGGGGTGGGGTGAAGGAGCAGGGTTTAAACCCAGGCAGTCTGACTGTGGAGTATCTGCACTTAACCACTACTCTTTACTGCACATTTTTTAAAAAATGGATTTTTAAAACACTTTTGTTAAAGAAATCGTCACAGGCTTACCTGCTTGATAATGCTGGATATTGTTCGAAAAATCACAGGGGCCTTAAGACAGGGAGTTTCAGAAATGCTAGATCATCGAGCATGATGGGAAGTTCCTCCCCAGCCTCTCGGCAAGGCCACAGTTAACCCAGGACTGGCAGAAAGCTTCCTGAGAACAGAATCGCACAACTTCTACTCATAGTTCATTCCAAAGTTTAACAGTCAGGAAATTCTTAAATTACAACTAACTCAGATCCTTTATGTTGTGGACTAAGCCCCATTCCTTGGGCTGATAAACCCCAATATTTCCATTTCTCTGACTCATTCGCTCAACTATTAAAGTTATTAAGCGTGTCCAGCTGAATTATATACTGAACATGGGAGACAAAAAGCTCCTAGGTTGCGTCAGGAGATTGGCCAGGTGAGAGGAGCCGGGATTTGTAGAGACAGGGTGAGGAGACAAGAGCCCTCACTGAGAGTTATGGGCACAGAGAGAGCCCAGGCAGCACCACACAGCCCACTTGTGGGCTTAACCATACAATGCTGAAACATCCCAACGCAGACTCATCCAGAGCAAACCCAGGGTGAATTCCAAGCAGAGATGCCTGGATAACCTGCGCTTTCCTTTCCCTGTGTCCTAAATCTGTCTACAACCACCATCTTGCCAATTTCTCTGCGTAAAAGCTTTTCATTTACTGAGCGCTGCAATTAAGTGGACTCTTTCTCTTCTGCAAACAAAATAACTTAAGTGGCTGAATTAGAAATGTCCCAATGTAATGCTGCTGAACAGCCAAGGCTGCGGACAACGTGGCGCCCTCAGACTGGGACACACGAGAGATCTAGATCCTGCTCCTGGTGCCACTACGCCTTCAGCCTGCATTTACTGAGTACCTACGCACCGGGAAATGCCGACGCAGTCCCGGCCCTCAGGGAACCTACCGTCCAGCCTGGGAGACGGTGGCACTGGCACGCACCAGCCCTGTGGACTGCGGGCCGGTGGTACAAAGGCAGTTAAGCTCCCGATGTTAAGGAAGCGCCAAGGAGGCTTTCATCCACTGTTACCCTAGCACCTCCCTGAGCTCAAGATTCTGTGCACTAACACTGGGATAATAATTCCCTCTTAAACTGTTGGATGGTGCTGTGGGGGCCTCAAAGGCCAAGGCTCCTAGAAAAGCATAAAGGGCAATTCAAAATAGGGACTGTTTGTTGATGAACGACGTAGTGGGGCCAATCCACGCATTAAAAGATGAGCTTGGTTCAGCGGCGCCATAGGCAAGCGTGAGCAAAGGGCTAGAACGGTGGCAACTCGCTGGTACCTGCTCCGGAAAACAACACACTCGACCTAATGGGGGTGGTCCGGAGCAAATTCCAAAGTTAGAACCTCGGAAAGCGACCCTCAGTCACTCAGCACCCGCGGCCACGAGCGTCCCCCTCCCCCCCACCCCGCCTCACTCTCCAGGCACTCCGCGCCGTCCCCACTCTGGAAACCCTAAGCCGAGGTCCTGACGGGCCGGACCGAGCCCCGGGCGCCCCCTGGCGGCCAGGCGCGGACTCTGGCCGCTCCGAGAGCGGGGGCGGGGCTAACGAACTAAGGGGGGGTTCTTCTCGCGTGAACTAATGGCGTCATCAAAGCGACAGGCCCGGAAGGAAGTAGCGTGTGGGGGGCGTGGCGGTTTCTACGGTTGCACGGGGGTTCAGACGAGTACGGAGCGCCTGGAGGGACAGCCTGGTACGCGGCCCCCGCCCCTTACTGTGCGCACTGGGCCTAGTTGCGGCTGCCGGCCGAAGCTCTTCGGCGGTTCTCCCGGGCCCCAGCCCCAGCAACCTCTCTCCTTCCGGAGCGAGAAAGCAACCCTTTTCTGTTCCGTCCCTTCCCCGCGAGCCCCAGGGCGCTTGGGACGCGCGACCCTCTCTCGGAAGAGGGCAGGGAAGGGGCGCGAGTTGGGGGCGGGGAGGGGAGCATTTGCAGAAAGGACGCAGCTGCTGATCGGTAGCTGGAGTCCGCTACGGTAAAATAAGCGCCTCGCAGACGTCTGAGCCCGAGTTATGTTAGCCCCGGGAGGCAGAATCCACGCCCTGCGCGGGTGGGCCCAGGCACTCCTGGCTGTGAACTTTGCTGTCAGTTACCGTCGTTTTTCCAGATCCTTCAGTGTTCAGGAAATGAGTCTCCAGAGGCCAGCCCTTTCTCGTCCTGGTGCTTCCCACCCTGGGGAACCCTCTTTCTCCTCTAACCATGGGCGTGGGCACCGGTGAGGTGCCAAGTGCCGGTCTTCCCACCCTGGGGAACTCTCTTTCTCCTCTAACCATGGGCGTGGGCACCGGTTAGGTGCAAAGTGCCGGTCTTCCCACCCTGGGGAACCCTTTTTCTCCTCTAACCATGGGCGTGGGCACCGGTCAGGTGCAAAGTGCCAGTCAAGTGTGTGGGAGGGTTATTCAGAGCCCTCCCCCGTTTAGATCCAAAGGAACAACTGGGAAGGTGGACGAAAGGCCAGAGAATCCCACCATGTGAACTCTGCTCACATGCTGACTCTGTCTCTCCAGCATCTGAAAGGAGTAAATAATGGTTTCCTTTGAAATGGCAGGCAATTAGGACTGGGAGGCTCTGACCAGAATTACATAGCCACAACTGCCTGTCATTTGACATCCTCTGTAATTTGGGCAACATACTGCAGCTGCCTCTCTTCCCTTTTACTAGTATGAGTGACTCCAGTGACAGCACATTCGTGTTCACAGGAAGAGAAGGCTGTGTTCTGAACGCTGCCCAATTGGCACTGGTTCTCTCTTGGGGCCCGGCTGTATCTGGAGCCACTGCCTCGGGGAGGTAGGGAATATGATCCCACAGCTAAGGAAGGAGTAGGAATGTTGCCTGAGAACAAGGATGAAGAGAGTTGTAGATCTAGCCTTGTGCTCATAGTACAACAGGCTCGGCCTGAGCCACTTGTAGGGAGCTCAGCTTAGTGAGGTTCTCTCCCTGTCATAGCTTTTCTCCTGCATGTCGGACTACACACGTCTTCCTGCGTCTTTTTCCCTAGGATAAAGGTTCGCTGATGGCTCAGTTGGGAGCAGTTGTGGCTGTGGCTTCCAGTTTCTTTTGTGCATCTCTCTTCTCAGCCGTGCACAAGATAGAAGAGGGACATATTGGGGTGTATTACAGGTAAGGAAGAGACAGAAGCTTGCAACTCCCTGTTAAATGTCTCTTTCTCCTAGTCACTGTCTGGCAGATTCTGTTGATTATGTGTCCATTGAATAGAGGAGTCTTTTTTGACAGACACAGCGAGAGAGGGAACACAAGCAGGGGGAGTAGGAGAGGGAGAAGCAGGCTTCCTGCGGAGCAGGGAGCCCAATGCGGGACTCGATCCGAGGACCCTGAGATCATGACCTGATCCGAAGGCAGATGCCCAATGACTGAGCCACCCAGGCGCCCCTAGAGGAGTCTTTTTAGATTGAGCTGTGGTGTCAGTGACCATGGAAGGGGATATATACACACACACATTCAATATAAATGTAAATATAAAATTTAGTAGTCTTAAGTTGATGCCGTGGGTGGTGAACGATAAATGCGTCTAGAGATTTAGAGACAAGATCTAAAGGAAACCAGTGCTTGCAGATCATCTCTGAAACATTGTTTTCTCCTACATCCCTCCCGGGCATCTTGGCGCCACAAGGTTACCTCCAATGAGCACAAGTTCTTGATGGCAACTTGAGGAGCTAGCCTGCTCTGCTGATTGTACCCACTCTTGAAAATTAACATTTCAGGAAAAAAGAAGAATCCTGCAGATTGATCTATATCAATCACGGCAAGCCCTAGAGTAGCGGTTCTTATAAGAAAGGAGCCCATTGCATCACTGTTTATTTTATTGCTCTATTTTTTAAAAAAATAATGTATTTTTCCTTCATAATGCAAAGCAAGGAAGCACTTATAAATCTTGGGTTGCTTTCCTTTCAGTAACTTCCATAACCAAGGTTTTTCTTTAAGTCTTTTACAAACTCCTTCTTATATGTGCCCAAGATGCTTATTGCTGGATTGCCAATAGCAAGTTCTAGAAGTCTCATTGGGCTCCTCTCTCCCCTTTATTTCTCCCCACCTTCTGCTCATACGTCCCCAAAAAAGGCTTTTAATTTTGTTACCCTTTACATATAACTTGGCTCTAAAGGTAAAATATTACTGCCCAGAGAAGATCCGTAAATGATTTTTAAAGCGTTCTCAAAATTATTATTTTGTTTGTTCATGCCCCTGGACTCCCAACATTAGTACAGTTAGTTGATAAAGGTATTACTGGATTTAACTGCCCCCGTGGATTGCGCCAAACTCAACAGGTATGACAAAGTAAAACAGACTTCCTCTTCTGTTAAGGATTGCCAGGGATCCTGCTGTCTTAATTCCACTTAGCCCATGTCCCTGTTTTTCCTGCCGCAAAAGCATGAATAATGGCTTTATGTTTTACCATCAGGCTTCCTAGAATATTAGGGTTGAGCTGAGAGGAAGGGGTCTGTGGACAGGCTCAGGCACATGTCTCACTGTATGAAATGTTTATGGGGCTGTAGAGAAGGTCGGTGCAAATAGTATTGCTGCAGTTGTTACCTCTTGCTGAACTGCCTCTTTCTCTTCTACAGGGGCGGAGCCCTCCTGACTTCCACCAGCGGCCCAGGTTTCCATCTCATGCTTCCTTTCATCACATCATATAAGTCTGTGCAGGTAAACTGGGCTTGTGGGGCATGTTTGGGCCACTGCAGGTTTGGGGTGTTGGCAAACGCATAATTTGGAGTTATTTCCCATTAGATGAGTATAATGCCTCTTCAAGGAATCACATATACATGTGATGTATTAAATGTATATATAAAGAATGAGGCTCCATGAGCCACATACCCTAGAGCTTTATTTGATTGTTGAAGAGTTGAATGGAGTCATTGCCTTGGCCCATTGGCCCCAGCTGGGAATTATTTCTTCACTTCAAGGTAGAGCCAGAGAAGAATCTGTTCCGAATGTACAGAAGGAAAAGTAGGGTGTGTGTGTCTGTGTTTTCAATCACAGGTTACCAAGATAAATGGAAATAAAACATGGTAGTTTTGCTGGTTCTTATTTGAACTTCATAGATGTGAACATAATTTGGGGGGGTTGGGGGGGAGAGGAAAGTTGGACTTGGTGAAGGGAAATAACATCTAAAGGAGGAGTAGGATTAGTTATGACGGATAGAAAGCCTGGCTAAGATAGACTAGCTAGCCGTCTTTGAAGTATGTCCAGCCAAGAGGGATAAGATTTAGAGGATGACTTTTAAACTGACCCAGGAAGATATACTGGGACACCTCCTCAGCATTCTCCATGTTCATTTCTTCTACCATTTCCTGTGTTTGATGGTTTTCTGAGTGCATTTGTGCCCAGGACCCTAGGAGTCTCACAGAATGCTGAGAAGGGGCAGGGCCAGGTTAAATACAGAATCCTCTTGTTTCAAGACTAGTAAAGGAAGACTGTAGAGGTAAGACAGGTCTTAAGACTCCTAATCCAGGGTCTTTTTTACTAAACCATTATTAGATTGTTCATATGGTGATTCACTTACAGTGAAGCTGGGGTAGGTACCTTTGTTCATCTAAGTCTCATACCCTGTGTAAATAAAGAGGATTAGGGGGAGTATTCATGTTTTGTTTTGTTTTGTTCTTGAGAGTTTATTTATTTATTTGACAGAGAGAGACACAGCGAGAGAGGAAACACAAGCAGGGGGAGTGGGAGAGGGAGAAGCAGGCTTCCCGTGGAGCAGGGAGCCCGATGCGGGGCTTGATCCCAGGACCCTGGGATCATGACCTGAGCTGAAGGCAGACATTTAATGACTGAGCCACCCAGGCGGAGTATTCATGTTTAACAAGGCCAAAGCTCAACCCAGATAACCTCAAGGACCGGGAGTTTGGGATTCCAAAACTAAGTTACTGTGCTTGTCACTGCCCATTTTACAGCATTTTATGTCCCTTTTATTTCTAGACCACACTGCAGACAGATGAGGTGAAGAACGTGCCTTGCGGGACTAGGTAAGGTACCCGGAGTGAAGCAGCTAAGCCTATGTCAGTGGAAGGGCTGTCTGGCTCCTAGAGACAGTGAAAGGAGAGGCATTCCTTCTCGGTGGTTTTACCAAGTTCCCTACCTCCTTGCTCCCTCGGTTCTGATTTGACTAGGCCATGCGGTGCAGTAGGGAAAATCACAGAAGGTAGACAGCTTCAGGAGGGCCTTGAATGCTGTGCTAAGTGTGGGCTTTTTCTGTTACAAGTGAAGATCCACTAAAAGCTTTCAGCAGATAAATGACTTGGTAGAGGAAGGTACATTTAGCATAACCAGCTATGGAGAATGTCATAAAGGTAGGAGGTGACCTCAGGGTCTGGAAATCCAAACAGAAGACCACTCTAGTGGTCTGGTGGAAAAGTAAAGAAGGTCTAAACTGGAATAGAATCACAGACCACCATCACGAGGAAATATGCGGGCAAATCCAGAATTAGGGCATCGCACAGGACAGCTGGCCTGATGGCATCACAAGGAGGAGCTTTGGGTTGAAAAGGAGACCTAAAAGACATAAACAAAGCCATGGTGAGCCTTAATTAGAACCTGGTTCAAAAATACCATCTATGAAAGACAGGGGAACTGGATTAGTCCACTTGGGCGGTCATAGAGAGTACAGCAGACTGCGTCCGAGGAGCCAGCAGGGTTGGTTTCTGGTGAAGCCTCTTTTCCTCGATGGCAGATGGCGACTTTGCCGTGTCCTCACGTGGCCTTTCCTCAGTGCACGCAGGGAGAAGATCTCTGGTGTCTGCCTCTGTTCCTTTACCAAGCCCGTCAGGTTGGGGCCCCACCCCTATGACCTCATGGAGCCTTAATTACCACCTTACGGCCCTATCTCAATACAGTCACAAGGGGGTTTTAGAGTTTCAGCAAATGGATTTTTGGAAAGCACACCGTTCAGTCCATAACAGGAACAACTGGGGAAATTGGAATAAGGACTGGGTATTAGAGACTGTTAAGGAATTATTGCTAATTTTCTTAGGTTTGGGAATGGAGCCAGACTACATAGAATGTCATTATTCCTCAGTGAGTGTTACTTACTAACGTGTTAAGGGAGAAAGAGTATCATGACTGCAACTTACTTTTGGAATGCTCAGCGTAAAAAAGCAGATCAATCTATAAGGTGAACTGTTAACAATTGCTAAATTTAGGTGTTTATGTACGGATGTTAGTTGTATTATTTCAGTGTTTCTGTGTGCTTAGAATTATTTATAATGAATATTGGTGGGGAAAGGAAAATGCTGAAACAAAGTGATGGTGAAGACAAAGTGAGAAACGGTGACCATAAAATCCCACTGTGGCCTTCTAAGTTCTGAGAATTCCTTGACTTTTCTTTTCCCTTCAATGGACTGTTTTAATCAAAAGGCATTGCAGATTCAACAGATATGAACTATTCTTTTCTTCCTGACACCCAGAAGTTTCACTTTTCTCCTTATGGAGATATCTTGAGGAGGTGTGGTTTCTCGGGAGATTGTGTTCTTGCTCTAAGCTCTGAAGATTCCTGCTTGGAGATATCATGCCCTCTGGCCTCCCATGAACTCCTGCTCCTTTTCTGCCAAGTCACACACCTGATGCCATCACCGAGAGACAGCACTATATTCCAGAGCAGACTGGTGACTTCTTTGTTCATTCTTCCCCCAACAGTGGTGGTGTGATGATCTACTTTGACCGAATTGAAGTGGTGAACTTCCTGGTCCCAAATGCAGGTACGTTTTTCCAGTTGACCTTCACCATCGGCTTACTTTGCCCAGCATGTCCCCCCACCCCCACCCCCACCCCAGGTCTGTCGCAGCACCTCAGGCTGGGAGAGCCACTGTGTCTGAGAAAGGGAGTCCTGCCTTTTCTGACTCTGCGATCCTGCCTTCCCTCCCAGTGTATGACATCGTGAAGAACTACACTGCCGACTATGACAAGGCCCTCATCTTCAACAAGATCCATCACGAGCTGAACCAGTTCTGCAGTGTGCATACACTTCAGGAGGTCTACATCGAGCTCTTTGGTAAGAATGCCTCTGCTAGCTGTAGCATGCCTCAGCTGCTGTTTCGCCCACCACCTACTGCTGAGCCACCGTGGGGGAGGATGGGTTCCCATGGACAGAAAGTGTCAAAGAACCCCGTGCCCGGGAACTGGTCCCACGTGAAATTTCTAGAAAACTTTAATGACAGTGGCAGAAGGTCATGAAAGCAGGTGAGCCTTGGCCACAGGGATCACGGTGGACTAGGGGACTCCTGGCCCGAATCAGAGGACTGGAAGGCAGGGGCATTCCCACTGTCTCTAAAACAGCCTTCTGTAATGAAGACAGGGCCTATTCTAGAGGAAGAACCTTCGAGATTATCCAGCCCAACGGCCTCATTTCCAGAGAAGGGGACTGAGGCCCAAAGAGAAAGTTGCAGAGCTAGTTGGAAGCAGAGCTGAGGCTAGAACCTTCCTCTCCTGGCTCTGGCTTCAGAGTGCTTCTCGGCCCACCACCCTGCATGAAGGGCCCCCGGGAAAGGTGAGGAGGACCTAGAAGTGGGACAAGGACTGTAGGTGCTTGAAGTTCTTAGTTTCTGTAAGCCTATACACGTAGAGATGAATAGGAAAACACTTAAAAGAATCCACGTCCTTAAGTACATACTTTTTGACCTTTTTAACCAGTCAAAGTAAACATAGCCTGACTTTAGCAGCAAGGGAAAGAAACAGTTCAGTAATTGTTCTAGTTCTTTTGTGGTTAAGTATTATGTTTAAGCTTGCTGCCAGAAGTTTTCTAGTGGCCAGTGCTGAAAGTAAATGATACCAGGACTGGACAGTGTCTTTTCCCAGGAATCTTCATTAAAAAGGACCCTGAGAGAGTGTGCCACGGAGTAGACAGGAGCGGGGAGGGACCCTGGTGCTGCCCGTGATCTCGATCAGAGCCCGTTGCACACTGTTTCTGATTGGGGAAATCATCAGAATCACTTTAATTTCTCTGCAGTAGAAAATGAATCTAAATTCACTTTACAGGGTTTAGATGCAGTATGCTTTTAAGAAAAAGTCTGTAAATTTGGTATTGTTTGTTTGTTTTACCTCAAACTGAGAGCGTTTTATAAAATAGCATCAGCTGTCTCTCTAGCCCTGGTTTTAGAACTTGTGCCACTAAAGGAATACTTGAAAGCATTTGAAACAAGAGACAAAGGACTCTAACTTCTATGAAGAGAAAATGAAAATAGGAAATTGTTTTGCGTTAGAAAACTTCTTACTGTCAGGGCGCCTGGAAGGCTCGGTCCGTGGAGCATGCAGCTCTTCATCTCAGAGTCGTGGGTTCGAGCCCCACATTGGATGTTGAGATTACGAAAAAATAAAATCTTTAAAAAAGACCAAAAAAAGGAAACTTCATATTGCCCAAGAGATAAACTTAATAGCTTAGTGAAGCTTATTGTACAGAGAAGCTGGGAAAATATAATTGCTTTGAAATTTTCTTTTTTTTTAAGTTACGTCTTTTGAACAAACACTGTCTTGCTTAGAATCTATTTGTGTCTGGAAAGGAGGAATTCATGTCTCTAATCCCATTCCTAGAACGTGGGAGGTTTTCCCTAGTTCTGTCCTCTTAGGACTCACGGCCCTGACTTCCCGCATTACTGTGTAATTCTCATCACTGCTTATGCTAGTGCATACTCTCTGTCCATCTTATAAAAACATGTCATAGTTCTTGTTCAGCAGTTGACCTGCGGCAGCCTCTTTGTGTAATGTAACCTAATCTGCACTTATCTGCATGACTATAATGTATAAACAGCTTATTACCAATATTACTTTGGTAATAAACCACCTGGCAAAATAATTCTTCCAGATTTTCCTAGAGAGTTATGAGCCCAGGACCACAGATATAATTTGGTCTAATAAATGACTGTTTATTTTTTTTTATTTTATTTTTTTTAAAGATTTTATTTATTTGTTTGAGAGAGAGAATGAGATAGAGCATGAGAGGGTCAGAGGGAGAAGCAGACTCCCCGCTGAGCGGGGAGCCCGATGCGGGACTCGATCCCAGGACTCCAGGATCATGACCTGAGCCGAAGGCAGTCGCTTAACCGACTGAGCCACCCAGGCGCCCGACTGTTTATTTTTAACTTAGGGAGGGCACAGAATATCTCAAAGTTCGGTTGGTATCCTATTGAAGTTAGAAAATATGAAATGTGATGTTTATCTATGGCTGTCAAATTGTTAAACACATACCAGGTCTGAGGTGCTGCCTTTTGGGCCATTTCTCCCTCATGCTGAGAGGCCTGTGAGAGTATATCCAGTGCGTGGAAATGTTAAAATCCCTTGCTTACCTATATGACAGTAGAGGATAGTGCTGTTTTAAAGCCTAAAACAGCCCTAAAAATTAAAGCAAGTAATTAAACAAGTGTATTATTTTGGCTCCTAAGTAGCTTGAGCACATCACTGAACTTCCATGAGCCTCAGTCTGGTCCGGGCATCTGTTAAAGGCAGGGAGTTCCACTTGCTGTTCCTCAGAGGCCCCTGTTTTGGGCAACAGTGACCAAAAATGGCCACTTAAAGCGGGTGGCAGCTGACAGTGAGGGAGGTGATCCAGTTCGGATACCCAGCCTGGTTCCGTGGAGTCTTCCCAGCGCCGTCCAGGACCTTCCCAAGGACCTCGAGGGCAGGGCGTCAGGAAGAGAAGGCCCCGGCCAGAGAGGGCAGCTGTGGGTGCTGCAGGACCCCAGCCAGAAGAGGGGTCAGTCAGAGCTCCTCCTACACTTGCCTATGAACCAACTCCCATGTGAATTCCAGACAGAGCAATCAGGGCCAAAGCAAACGACAGACGACTCGGGCTCGTTTCCAGAACCATAAATTTTCGTTTCCCCTCCTGTGTTCTTTGATGGAGTTCTTTTTTTTTTTTTTAATTTTTTTTTAAAGATTTTATTTATTTATTTGACAGAGACATCGAAAGAGGGAACACAAGCAGGGGGAGTGGGAGAGGGAGAGGCAGGCTTCCCGTGGAGCAGGGAGCCCGATGCAGGGCTCGATCCCAGGACCCTGGGATCATGACCTGAGCCAAAGGCAGACACTTAATGACTGAGCCACCCAGGCGCCCCTTTGATGGAGTTCTTAATGAAAATAGTCTTCCTTGGGTCCTTCATTGACGTCAGAGTCTGTTTTTCTTTTAGGAACTTCTAAAATGACTGGATTTCAATGGCTTGGCTCTCTTCGAACTACCTAGCATAGCCACTCCACCTTCCTTCCTCTTGAAAACAGGGTGCCTGCCTTCTCTTTAGCTGCTGTTGTCTAGGGGAAGGCTGCCGCCCGACTCAAGAAATATGCGAGAATTGTTTGTTCTTTTTCTTATTAAAGCTCAGTTTCCTTTCGGGCAAGGTTGCTATTTTCTACAGCCTCGGGTGATTTTATCTGGAGGCCACAGGAAAAGGATACTCTCACATCCAGCTTGCGTGGAGGGGCTACATAGGCGTGTTGCTTTGAAAGATGTGCCAGGGGATCTTCGGATTTCTGGGCTCTGATAAGCACTCTGCCTTGGAAAGCCCTTTGGCCTGTCAGGTGCATTCTTGAGTGGTGTTTTAGTTTGTCCTCTACCTGCCTGCTTTCCTCCACCCTGCCTACAAAGTGTAACAACTTTTTCTGTCTTTCTTGATTTCAGATCAGATTGATGAAAACCTCAAGCTGGCTTTACAACAGGACCTGACCTCCATGGCCCCCGGGCTTGTCATCCAAGTAAGCATTGCCGTAGTGGGAACACCCTCTGCTGAAGGGGCAGCCCCCCTTCCAAGGGATGTCCTTTTTGTGCAGGAAGATGAAGAGCCAGTGGGAGCTGCTTCTGTCCCTCACCACCCTCACCTTCCCATCACGTGCTATTTTTATCCTCCAGGCTGTGCGGGTGACCAAGCCCAATATACCTGAGGCGATCCGCAGAAACTACGAGTTGATGTGAGTAGTCCCTCTGCCCAAGCTATATCCACCACTCTCTCCCACCCCACCCCCCACCTCATCCCATCCCAGAGTTAACCGAAGCCGTGCCAGACACTCATTGCCCTTCTTGTGCCAGACACTCATTGCCCTTCTTGAGCGTTCGTTACAGCCCATCGCTCTGTAAGATGGAGCAGGTGTGTCAGGAGAACCACCTGGGCTCTGGAACTGTGATAGAGAGCCACAAGAGAAGCTCTTTCAGGCAGTGATGCTTTGAAAAGGGCCAGGGGGTATTGTTTGTGCTTCATGGCTCATACCAAAGAAGATGGGAGCGAAAGGTGCTTAAGTGGGCTGGCAGGTGCATTTTACCAAAGTAAATTATGCTTTATTTCCCACAAGTGAGTTATTTTGGAGGAGAAAGAGAGCCATGTTACCATCTGCAACAGGTCTGCTTTTTTTTTTTTAAGATTTTATTTATTTATTTGAGAGAGAGAGAGAATGAGAGAGAGCAAGCACATGAGAGGGGGGAGGGTCAGCGAGAGAAGCAGACTCCCCGCCGAGCAGGGAGCCCACTGCGGGACTCGATCCAGGGACTCCAGGATCATGACCTGAGCCGAAGGCAGTCGCTTAACCGACTGAGCCACCCAGGCGCCTAACAGATCTGCTTTTACTTGGGACATTGAACAGCCTTCCAGGAGAGAGGAAGAACTCAGTTTGCCTCTCAGCAGAAGCCTGTCTTCTCCGGGGGACAGTGAAGTTCCTCAGAAGCTTTTTCCATGGCGGCCCCACAGTTGTGTACCTTTTTTCCCTTCAGGGAAAGCGAGAAGACGAAGCTTCTCATTGCAGCCCAGAAACAGAAGGTGGTGGAGAAGGAAGCTGAGACGGAGCGGAAGAAGGCCCTCATCGGTCTGAATGTGGTTCTGTGATCACCTTACAGGGCGGAGGGGGCTGAAGAGGGTGGTGGGCAGCCACGAGGTCGCCTCAGGCACAGCTAGATCACAGTCTTCCAAACCCTTGCCAGGCGCAGGAGGGATATTCATACTCCCCGAAGCAAAGCTGAAGTTGTCAGATCATGGCCAGGGGCAGTGAGCTTTGAGTCTCCCCTTATCTCTGAAATGAAAGAAAACTTTCCTGTTAATTCTTTTTTTTTTTTTTAAGATTTTATTTATTTATTTGAGAGAGAGAATGAGAGACAGAGAGCATGAGAGGGAGGAGGGTCAGAGGGAGAAGCAGACTCCCTGCCAAGCAGGGAGCCCCATGCGGGACTCGATCCCGGGACTCCAGGATCATGACCCGAGCCGAAGGCAGTCGCTTAACCAACTGAGCCACCCAGGCGCCCCTCCTGTTAATTCTTAATAGGAAATAATAATGGCTAATACCTATCGAGCAGATATCATGAGTCATGTACTTTTCTAAGCACTTATATGTGAATTACCTCACTCCTCACAACCACGAGCTGAGATATAGGTACTATCGTTAACCTCATTTTCCTGTACTGAAGACCAGAGGGGTTAAATAACATGCCCAGGGTCATATGGCAAGTGGTGGAAACGGGTTCAACCCCAGGGACTATGTCCAGAACCTGGTTCGTAACTGCTACACCAGATTATCAACCACTACTATCTGCTTCCCAAAGTGAAGTGGCAGGAAGAAACTGTTTCCTTAGGAAGAATCTCGTTCCTTAGACTATCCCTCCGGGAGAAATACCCTTGTGACTTAGGGTAGAGGTTAGGACTTGCTCCTCGCTTTCGTCGGAGAGCCCAGGTCTCTCCATTTACTGTCTTATGCTGAGGTCGTGGTACTGCACTCACTGGTACGGTCCATGTGCGCCCACGTGTGCCCGTCGCAGGCCTCTCCCTCTGAGCTAACCCACCAGCCCGCATCAGGGACTCAGGAAAGGTCAAACAGTCTGGCTTTTGAAATACCAGCGCTCTGAGCCTTTTCTCAACTTCATTTCTGTAGAGGCAGAAAAAGTGGCTCAGGTCGCAGAAATCACCTATGGGCAGAAGGTGATGGAGAAGGAGACGGAGAAGAAGATTTCAGAAATTGAAGGTGAGCACAGGTGAAGTGAATGTCCAAGGTTTCTTCAGACCCCACCTTGTGGCAAGGGGGTGGGAGAGTCATTTCCTTCGCTCCTTCATCTTTGTTCTAAGAGGTGATGATTTCTTTGGAAAATCACTTCTTCTCTGTGCTTTTGAGTCCAGTTTGGGGGAGATATGAGGCCAGGCTGCCGTCAGTTTTCCACTTTAGAGAACATTCGCTCACTCAACAGATGTCCACCAAGTGTGGCTAGGCGCGCTTGTGTGAGGCCTAAGGGAAAAGGAAATCATTTAAGTCCCTGCTGTCTCAGAGCCTTAGAAGTGAGCGAAGGGGTGAGGCCAGAACAGCACCTCCTCCCTTTGCCTTCCCTGGCCCTCTGCACGTCAGCGAACACCACAGCTGTGGCCTCTAAGTCTGCTCTCGGCACCCCCTGTCATGGATACCAAGACACCTTTTCAGCACCAACAACCCTGGAGCTGGAGAAGGAGTGCTTTCTTTGCTGGCTTTTCTGAACATGATTCACCTTCAGTTCCCTGCCCCTAAGCCCTCAGCTCATTCCACCGCCTACCCTTTCCTTCATGTGGTGCCTTAAATCAAGCAAATTCTAAGACAAAAATGCGACCTCGAGGCCCAGCTTCAAAGCGCTGTGTGTCCACTTGTACTCACTATGGTATGGGGCCTGTCAGGCTTTGCGGGGGCCCGGTGAGGAGCCAACTAGGATTTTACAGATCAGTGGCTCCTCATTAGGGAGCTCTTAGCAAAACAAGACATTTTTATTTCTTATAAAAACATGTCATCAGGTGCTAAGGCTGCTTGAGTGGGCCGCAGGCAGCCAGCACGCCAGCCAGACTGCACATTCCTTCCGCCCTGCGTCGTGCTGAGGGTGTGCAGGAAGAACCCCCCGCCCCACCCCCCCCGCCCCGCAACAGACTGGCTGTCCTTCCCAGGCTTCTGGCTACAAATATTACTCAGAGGAGGCTGGCCTCATTCCCAAGGCAAGGGAGTAAGCAGCAAAAATTTTGCATCGGGGCGCCAGGGTGGCTCCGTCAGTTAAGTGTCTGCCTTCGGTTCAAGTCATGATCCCAGAGTCCTGGGATCCAGCCCCACATCGGGCTCCCCGCTCAGTGGGAAGCCTGCTTCTCCCTCTCCCACTCCCCCTGCTTGTGTTTCCTCTCTCACTGTGTCTCTTTCTGTCAAATAAATAAAATCTTAAAAAAAAGTTTTGCATCAGCTTGACAGAAAGCTCGTCTCAGCGGATTAAGGAAGTTGTGCACAGTGGAAGTTGAAATAGGTCTTCATCCAAACAGCTGTTAGTCTGGACCAGGGCATGTAGTTGCCTTAGGTAGAGTTATGTCGGCTTCCCCACTGTTAAAGAGTACCTTTTTAAAATGATTGAGGGAAATAAAAAGGGAAATGAAGTTGGAGAGGGACCGAGCTGTTTTTTGTTCATGGCATTGGGTTTTCGGCGGAGCCACCTCCGGCTGTATTCAGAGCCCTCCCTGGGCTCCTGGCGCCGTGGCTGTACAGCACAGGAGGGATGGGGTGGGGACCTCTGAAGCTGGACGTGGGGACAGGGCCCACGCGGCTTCCCAGCCGTGGATCAGCAAGAGGGGTAAGCGCGGGGAGCCAGGAAGTGTCTCCTGGACAGCGCTCTTCTCGAGCCTACTGTCAGAGATGTAGCTGGGCACAGCCGCCGACGTGCTCCTTGTTAGTCCCCACCACAGGGAGATGCCGCCCGAGCACCTCTTTGTCATGGTTCATTTTCACCATGATTTGTGAAATAGGGGAAATGCCTCCTTCCACATTTTGCAGAAGAGGAAACCAAAGCACAGCGGAGAAAGAGCAGTCTCCCCGAGGTCGCAGAGGCGGTGGGGGAAGGGGTCCAGGGCCCAGTGTTCTGGTGGCTTTGGCACCGCGTTCACTGCCTTCTTGCCCCCAGATGCTGCGTTTCTGGCCCGGGAGAAGGCAAAGGCTGATGCAGAGTGCTACACCGCTATGAAGCTCGCCGAAGCCAACAAGGTAAAGCCCAGAGCCGCCTGGGGAAGAGAAGGTATATCTGGCTTTGGGCTAATGTTTGAGAGTTCCCGGTGTCGGATGGCCACCACCACCCAAGACCCTCCTGGCCAGAAGGGGTGGCCGCTGTGCCGTGGGGGACAGGTGCTGCCCTTCCCCTTAGCCGAGCCTCGGCAGAAGTTTAATCGTTGTGTGAAACACGGAAACTCCTAAAACTTGCAGCTCTGACCTCGCACATCCATTAGTACCCTGTCACTAATAGAACAGTGAGGCCAGGAAGAGTCGAGAGGGCACACTGCTTTGACAGAGACCGTCTCCTTGTGAAAAGTGAAGGATGCCACCCAGAGTCTTCTCGACCCTGGCTCCACCTAGTCTGCTCTCGTTTGTTTCTTACAGCTGAAGCTGACGCCTGAGTATCTGCAGCTGATGAAGTACAAAGCCATTGCTTCCAACAGCAAGATTTACTTTGGCAAAGACATCCCGAACATGTTCGTGGACTCTGCAGGCAATCTGGGCAAGCAGTTCGAGGGGCTAGCTGACAAGCTGAGTTTCGATGATGAGCCCTTGGACGTAGACCCTGAGGAGAATTGAAAGTTTTTTGTATACAACCTCGGATGACACTTAGGAGAGATCTTTATTTTTGAATGATGAACCGGGATGCTCCTCCCTCCCACACTACCTGCTTTGACTCTCTTACACATTATGTGGTGAAAAAAGAAGAAATGGATTTAAATCTATTCCCCTTCCTGGGAAGGGAGGGCAGGGATTGCTGATTTGGGGTCTTATTCAGGTAAGCAGTTTAGATGACTTCTGTTAAGATGGGCAAACCATGGGTTTGACCTTTGACCTCCAGACACTAATTTTAGCCCTTTGAAGCTGGCTTAAGTAGGGATTCAATCATTACAGAGTGGGAGAAATAGAGGGTGTTGCCTCCAGGTGATTTGCTTTCCCCGATTTGGGAAAATGCGGTTCAATTTTCTCCCCTCTGCCTCCAAGGCGGGAGATGCCTGTGGGTGAGGCTCAGCAACTGAGCAACTGTGTGCTTGTGAGTCTGCCTGCAGAGCTGCGGGGGAACAGCTGCAGAGAACGTTTGGCTTTGCTGGTATTTTTGTCGGCATATGTGAGTCATTTTAGAGGCACACTTTCTCGAGCCCTCACAAGGAAGGACTGGTGCTAGGTTTTGCAAGCTCTTCTCTCCTACCCTCTTTGCCCCAGGGCTTAAAGAGAATTGGTTTCTGACTAAATTCCAGAGTCAGGGTTTGGGCACCACCCCACAATTCTTTTTAAAACTTTTCACCTGTTCTGTGATTTGGTTTTTTTTTTTTTTTCCTCTCTCAAATCTGTTCGTTGATACCACTCAGCATTAGGAAGATAAGAACAAACAACCCTAGTGTTTTACTAGCTGCTGAAGGGGGATCATTCCGTCTCTCAGCCACCATGGTACCTGCTTGGCAAACAACGTATGTTCTCACTGTGGAGGTTCTGTGTTGAAGAGCTCTTCCAGGCGCTGAGGTCACCTGAAGTATCTCCTAGTCTTAAGCTTATAGCTTGTGCTGGCAGTCTGACAGTGATAAAAAGGGAGCCCACTAAGTAGCACATGTTTTGAAATCTAGGGCGCCGACAGCCACACGGGGGTCAGACTGAATGCTCCATCTCCGGAGACAGCTGTGGGGTCCATGTCAAGAGTTCGTGCCCAGGTCCCTGGGTTGGAAGGGCTGCATCAAAATGTTCAAATGTTTTGGGTTTGGGTTTTTTGGGTTGGTTTTTTTTTTTCCATTTCTAATTAGGAAAATTTTGTGTCATTCTGGGAGATTTGGGATGGAGGAGAACAAACATGAAAGATTTTCTTATATCCTGAAATTGGAGTTGGGGGGGTGGTATCCAGCTTATGTAGGCCATGAGTTGTGTACCAAATTGTTAGCTTATCTCCATCTAACTTGCAGGCATGTCGGTATTCTCCATGACAAACTCTGGCTTAGGATCTGCTTTGTTCTTAGCTGCCCTCCCCACCACCACCACCAAAGAAACTACCACTGTACCCCTTTTCCCTCAGTGATACTATGAATGATACTTCCTGGCACAGATCCCCACCTCATTTTTGGTCCCATGCCCAGACTTCTGCTTTATTGAATGGCCCAGAATTTGGGCCAGCTTGCTCCCAAGTAGCACCAGGCTTGTCTTGAGAGTTTGGGGAGCATTCAGCGCGCTTAGGTAGAAACAACATGTTAACTCCTCTTAATTCAAATGTTGCCCTTCCCTGTTCTAATTTCTGGGACTTAGAATTCTCAAACCACTGGTCCTGGTCACACTTTGTGCAAGCAGCCAACCGTTCGTGGGAATGATGGATTTTAATGTGCTCAGAAGTGCTTGCAAAAGACAGTCTCCCAAGGCCAACATAGGGTATCCATTATTAAGATATACTTACCCTCCTCCCATTTCAGTGCCATTAATCACTTGTTAGGAGCAACATGACACATGACCTCCAGCTTCCCCAATTTACATATTTGTCTGCTCCCTCTACTCTGAGATTTGCTGACTAGGCCTCAGAAAACACTACTTCAATAGAATAAAAAGCAAGAATATCTTCACCTCTGAATAGCACGTTTGCTCAGGTTCCTCACTTGAAAGCCCAATACTAACATCCTGTGACAGCTTGTCCCTTGCACTAGATACACTTTAACCACAAAAGAGCCTCAATAAAGTAAAATCCTGCTGCCCCTGCCTCCCTCAATGCTAATGTTGCTTCCTCTTTGAACAAAAAATATCAATGTCATAGTGCCCCTCAGTTTAAATTCAGTGGTTGTCTGCACCTGCCTGAAGAGTAAAATCATGGAAGTCAGCAGTTTCCTCAGCATGGGACCACTAACCAATCTGTGTGACTCTGTGTCTTCAACACTCACTAGAAAATCTTATCTTAAAACATTTGAATTCTAAATGTGTAAAATGTGACAGCCTACACTTTTGTAGGCAGTTAAGTCATGGCTGCTATTTGTAAATGGAACTTCTATCAAAATAAGTAACCGTTTATAAAATTCAGTTTTTTGTAGGATTTTTCCAAGGAAAAGTCACCTTGGTTGAATGTTTCTCATTAAACTTTACAGAAGTGGTTCATATTCAGTACTGTTTTTAATCACTTTTTTAAATATAAGGACAATATTTGCAAGGAAGCCGAAGTTTAATAATTTTTATAACACTAATATAAAATAAATTTGAAGGGATCTGTGGTCATATTAACTTGAAGGAGGAAAAAAAGATAATTGAAAGAATTTTGGCAATATATTGATCAAAAAAAAGTTGTTTTCTAAATGATCTGTTGTGATTTCTATGGGTCTATGTATCTTTCTGCACTGATGACTTTGCCATTTACAGAGTAAGTAGTGAAAGTAAGATCGTCGTCTTTACTGACTTATCAATTTAAGTTTGATTGAAGGTAAACCTCAGTCCTCAGTTGAGAATAAACCTGTGTATTGGCTAGTGACTGCTGTGTGTCTCAACTTAACGGGCTACTTCATTAGTTCTACTCAGTAGGGTTCGAGCCACTGTTTCTATTGCTTCCTTAGAAAAGAAATAATAGCCAATCAGTTTGTGTTTGGATTTCCATTTCTTTTTATTTCTGCTTTTGTGTAAGCTGGTGATTGAATAGTCAAAACTAATTCTACTTTCAAAGAGCCCCAACAGTTTAATGACCCCCTTTGTAAACAAGAAATGATTCTTGTTATATTAATCACTCTATAAATAATATGCTGGAGTAATCACCTGGGGTTGATAGCTGGAGAAATTGTTTTAGACCACACTAAAGATGTGAATTTATATCTCAGTTTTATTTTCAGTCTTGCTAAATACAATCATTCTTCTTTGTATTTTTTTTAAAGTGAAATTTAGCAATAGCTAATATTAGGATAGGTGATATAAAGAAATAAAACGTCCCTCCCTAGTGAGTGGAGTGCAAGATCACCCTAAAAATATATTCAGATGACTATCCCCATTATCAGTGTAGAAACAAATAATTTGTAAACATGGCATGATTCTTGGTAGGTGCTATGGAAATTGATCATTTTAAAGATCCATTCACTGCTGCAATTCTGGCCCAAAAGGTAGAGATACTTTCAGTTGACTCAAAACTCATTTTGATATCAATTCAGTGAGAAAGTCCCAGTCTCTACTCTGGAAAGCTGCCCAGCCTAAAGCTGCCAAATAAAATACACAATGCTTGTTTCAATTTGAATTTCGTTTAAACAACTAATAACTTTTAGTATAAGTATGTCTAAAATACTGCAGGAGACATACTAAAAAATTATTTGTTATTTATATGACACGCACATTTAACAGAATATCCTGTATTTTTATTTGCCAAACGTGGCAACCCAAGCCCAGGCTTCCTCGGGTTTTTTAACGGTGCTCTCAAACTTTCTCTATTGGTCTGAGATCCCCTACACAAATAACATGAACTTACAATTGAATAGGTAAGTTAAGAACGTAGTCCCTGCGGTTAGACTGCCATGATTCAGATCCCTGCTCCACCACTTCCTATATATACAGTCTTAAATAAATTCTTTAACCTCTCTGAACTTCAGTTTCTTCATCTATAAAATGGTTTGAGTGGTGTAAATGAAATCCTGCATGTGAAGGGGTTAGCACTGGGCCTGCCGTGTATAACGTTTTCAGTCATCTCGGAAAACAGGCTAGAAAGCACACACCTATTAAGTGGGTACCACTAAGTGGAAAATCAAAGAAATGTGACAGAATAAGATCATAGCACAGAGAGGAAAAAGGGAACAATATTGGAATGCAGCAAACGGTATTGAGAATACGTACATCTGCAGAAATGTCATATGTACAAAATAAGCGGGTTTGGCCCTCTTGAGAGGAATTCCCAGTTCAGGGCTCCAGTTTGGAAAAAATGACTTTTAAGAGGAGGCTAGCAAAGCAAAATGTTAAAACCAAAATTTAAAAAGTAAAAAAATAAAGCCAGGGGTGCCTGGGTGGCTCAGTTGGTTAAGTGTCTGCCTTCGGCTCAGGTCATGATCCCGGAGTCCTGGGATCGGGATTGGGATCAAGTCCTGGGATCGAGCCCCTATTGGGCCCAGCTCCCTGCTTAGCAGAGATTCTGCTTCTCCCTCTCCCTCTGCTCCCCAGCCCCCTGCTCGTGTGCGCTCTTGCTCTCGCTCTCTCTCTCAAACTCTTACAAAAAAATTAAAAATAAAGCCCATGGGTTGACCCCATAAAAGGCAGAAAGGGAATTTAACGATTTCACTTTATAAAAGTTGCATAAGGGTTGGCTAGGTATTCTCTAGCTCCTTTGAGACCAATGAAGAGGAAGTTAGCTTGCAGAATATTTTAGAAGATTTCACTTAAGATTGGCTAAAATTTGAAATCAGAAGAAGTAGTTGCGTGCAAATAGAAAATAAATCCAGGGATTAATATAAATAACATTTTCTTCTCCGATGGTCTTCAGAAATTGGGGAGAGTCTATGCTGTTTGGGATGGTTTAAATGTCATTCTATATAAAAGATCAAATGATCTCTAAAGGTCCTCCCCAGGTCTGTGGTTCTAGAATCTATATTCACATTTCAAAAGCCAAATGTGACCATATGGGTGCTGAGGGATTGTTGCAGTGGCTTCTCCACCTCAATTCATTTAAACTGGGACATGGGCATTATTTCTCCATTTCTCTTTAGAGCCAAGTAACCAGGCAACTGTAATTTTCTATTATTTTATCTTTTTTTATCCCCCAAAAGAATCACAGTAAGCCCAGAAGGAAACCGTTTTAAAATCCATGAATGTTTTTCTCATAATTAAGGGCCTCAGACGAGAGAGGTGAATGTTTTAAATGCTTGATGGCATTTATGGTGAATAAGTATACTACATTTTTATAAAATTATTTATAAAATCTGTTCCTCTGGGTATTTGGCTTTTTAATCTTTCTCACTTCCTCGTTGTCCTTGTAAACTGTTGGAGCAATTTGAAGACAGTTACGGGTGATGACGTGATTGTGGACCTCCATTTTTTAAGGATTAGGGAAGAATGAAGTGTTAAATTAGATGGTTGATGTCTGAGGAAGTGGAAGAGAAGAAACTAAAAAAGAAAATAAGGAAAAAAAGTGGACTAAAATTCATTCAAAAGCATAGCTGAGAAGTAGACATTGGAAAATGTGAAATGATGAGACTGGGGTCACCTTGATCTTTACTTCGATTTTCATAAGGTTATACAATGTTAGAGGTGAAAAGCATCTTAGAAATGAATCCACAGGGCGCCTGGGTGGCTCAGTTGGTTAAGCGACTGCCTTCGGCTCAGGCATGATCCTGGAGTCCCTGGATCGAGTCCCGCATCGGGCTCCCTGCTCGGCAGGGAGTCTGCTTCTCCCTCTGACCCTCCCGACCCTCCCTCCTCTCATGTGCTCTCTCTCTCAGTCTCTCTCTCTCAAATAAACAAATAAAATCTTTAAAAAAAAAAAAAAAGAATCCACAGTAAAGCCTGTCTTACTCATCCTGGTCTACCCCCAAGTTATCATTACAGAGAAATGCCCCTATATATGTTGACTGAATAGATAAGCAGGGTGGAGAAACTAACATTTATTGAACATTTGCACTTGCTGTGGGGGAGCACTCTGCTAAGTGTCTTACACATCTTGATCCCCACTGCACCTCGGAAGGAGATACTGACTCCTAAATAAAAAATTGAGAACTTCAGTAACTTATCCAAGATCACAGTTTAGTGAGGAAACCAAGATTCAATGTGTGGCAGTCCTATGCCACCACTACCCAATCTTGGCACCACTGTCCTTATTAACTTGAAATCTTAAGTCACTCTTCTGATGCCTTTTTGGCATCAATATGGGGAATGGGAGTGGGGGAGGTTGGCCTTAAAATTCAAAGAGGGGCGCCTGGGTGGCTCAGATGGTTAAGCATCTGCCTTCGGCTCAGGTCATGATCCCTGGGTCCTGGAATCGAGCCCCGCATCGGGCTCCCTGCTCAGCGGGGAGCCTGCTTCTCCCCCTCCCTCTGCTTCTCCCCCTGCTCATGTTCTCTCTCTATCTCTGTGTCTTGAATGAATAAATAAAAAAATATTTAAAAAAAAAATTCAAAGAAGACATCTGACCTATTAAATGAAATATATTAAATGAAGACTCTTGCTAGTTGTCATAATAACCTATCCCCTGGATTCTGTGTACATCCTTTAGATCTGATGAGGTATTTATGGTTTTTAAAATGTTTTCCAGGGGCACCTGTGCAGCTCAGTTAAGCATCCGACTCTTGATTTTGGCTCAGGTCATGATCTGAGGGTTGTGGGACGGAGCCCTGAGTCAGGCTGTGTGCTGGGCATGGAGCCTGCTTAAGATTCTCTCTCTCCCTTTGCCCCTCTCTGCTTGTGTGCTCTCTTTCTCTAAAAAAGAAAATAAATGTGTTCGAAGTAGCCTATCACTTTATTATGTCATGTTCACCCAATCCTTCTCTATTACATCTCTTTACCGCGGTCCTGGTCGCTGTGATCCCCTTTGTTCCTCCCACCACTGACTGCTACCTCCCACCACTGACTGCTACCTTTCAACTCGCTATCTCTACAGCAAATTATTCACACCATGAAAGCCTGTTCTAATCATTTGTTGTTATCATTTTGTCAGGAGTAAAAATTATCAAGTCCAGAGCCATTTTATTTCAAGACAATTACTACTAATGTCTTTGGCAACCCTAATTTACAGATAACCCAGTTACCTGTACCTGGTAAAGAGAAACTTCCCAAAAAGTAGTCCTTGATGGCAAGCACCCTAGGTTCTGTTCAAAAGTGATTTTCCCAGAGCACAACATATGAAATTTCATCATTCTTGGGGTCTGGGAAGATGGTGAGAGAAGAAAGAATATTGCCCTTTATTTCCTGAAGATTCGAAGTAAGCCAAGTGGCCCCAAGACAACCTGAGGAACAAACTTTAGCCTTTTCTCCAACATAATAGCATCCCACTTCATTAAGTTGAAATGCTTGAGAATCTTTAAACGGTACAAAAGCGCTTTCCTTAACACAATTGATCTCTTTCTACCTACCCACAGCACCTACTATTTCACCATCTGACTATCAAACCTTGTATTTTACTGTATTAGTAAAATTTATTGTTTGGCTCCTCCTTATGTTTATGACCCTCATGTGGCCCAGAGCTGGACACATAGGACGCTCAAGAATTGGACTGAATGTGTGCCGAGGTCATGCTAGACGTCTAAAGCTGCCTGTGGTCTCCTCCGATAAGGTAGCGCCAGCCGCAGGTGGCTACTAACCTCCTGAAATATGGATAGCCCGAATTGAGGCATGCTGTAAATCAAAACTACACAGCGAGTTTTGTAAGTTAAGCACAATAAAACAGAAAATCTCGTGGCGCCTGGCTGACTCAATGGGTAGAGCATGCGATATTTGATCTTTGGGTTGTTGAATTCAAGCCGCGCTTGGGTGTAGAGATTACTTAAAAATAAAATCTTTAAAAAAAAAAATCCC